GGAAAACACCTCTTATCAACAGGGTGTCTGAATGAAACGTAATTGTACACCTAACCCTTAACTGTACGCCACAAAACTATAATAAAAATACTGATTAATTATTAAAAAAAAAATATATATATATATGGTGGAATTATTCACAGTACAGTCTGTAATCCCCCCACCATATTTGTTCAGGAAATCAATTAAAGTTTCTATCTTACTAGCTGGGCACGGTGGCTCACACCTGTAGTCCCAGCACTTTGGGAGGCCAAGGCAGGAGGATCGCTTGAGGCCAGGAGTTCAAGACCAGCCTGGGCAAGACAGTGAGACCCTATCTTAACACACATTTCTGACTCAGTGATCTGTCACAGAAACAAAGAACTGAATACTCCATGTTCCACTCATAAGTGGACCCTGAATATTTACCATAATACTATAAGAAAGGGATTGGCAGTAGCAGGATACTGCCGGAGTGTGGGGGTGGAGACACAACATCCATCAGGGTACCTGATCTCAAACCAAAGGGAGGCCCAAGTTTGCCTGTACAATGCCCACTTGTATACCTAATCCTGAATCGTGCCCCACATCTTTAAAAGAAAAAATCAATTAGTTATTTTTAAAAAAAATGATCCTTCTGTCCTAGTAACCTAGAAAACCTTCCTGCAGCACTCAGCCCAGGCCCGCGGGTGAAGAGTGCCCTACTGTGGAGGGGGGAAGGTGCCCACGCATGCTCACCCCGGTGCTCTGAGGGGGGAGTTCGTGGTCACGTGGACTCACGCCTGGCATCTGCCCTCTCGTTACCACCACGACCCGGGAAAGGGAAGACTGTGCCTACCCGCAACGCCCCCCTGCATTTAGAGAGGCTGCATCTGTTTTCGAGGATGACTTTGGCTTTTCCACACTGCGAGAGGAGACTGAGGGGGAATTACCCTGAAGGGCAATTTCATCTGAAGTGGAGAGAAGTTGAGGACCCTTCTCCCTGACCACCTCCCTGAGTTCCCACCACCCAGCCCTCCTGCTAGTGCCCCTGTGCCCTCTGCTCCTTGAGCTCTGTCCTCAGAAGCCCTGGGAGAACATCTTAGGGGACTCTGAGCCTAATGCCTTAAGAGATGCTTGTGCAGAGAAAAAAAAATGTTAAAAAGAACCAGCTCTCTTAGTCAGACGTGGTAGTGTGCGCCTGTAGTTCTAGCTACTTGGAAGGCTGAGATGGAAGTATTGTCTGAGCCCTGCAGGTCGACTCTGGGGTGGCCATGAGCATGCCACTTCACTCCAGCCTGGGTGAAGGAGTGAGACGCCAACTCACAAAAAAAGAAACAAAAAGTTTTAGGCCAGGCACAGGGGCTCAGCCTGTAATCCCAGCACTTTGGGAGGCCGAGCCTTGAGGATTGCCTGAGCCCAGGGGTTTGAGACCAGCCTGCGCAACTTGGTGAGACCTCTTCTCTACAATAAATCACAAAAACTAGCTGGACATGGTGGCGTGCTTCTGTAATTCTAGCTACTTGGAAGGCTAAGTTCAGTAGGTCAAGGCCTAAGCTCAGCAGGTCAAGGCTGCGGTGGCCATGAGCATGCCACTGCACTCTAGCCTGAGCAACAAGAGTGAGACTCCAATGCAAAAAAAAATTAATTAAAAAATAAAATAAAATAAAAAGAAACAGCTCTCATGAGATTACATCGAGCCAACCTCACTACTTTCCAAGGTGGGACTTCCCGCTCAAGGACCAGGCGATGACTTTCCTGAGCCCAGGCCATCCCGCTTCCCTCCAGGCAGCCGCACAAGACTAGGCCTCCTGGATCGGGAGGCCGGGAGGCTGCCCCCCACACTGCGGAGGCTGGCTCCCCCAGGTGATGAACCCCACCCCTGAGAATTCTCCAGCTTTGAGAGACAAAGTTTCATAGAACTCATTAGCAAAGATCAAAGGTCCCCGAGCTCAGAGCAGCCTTATCCGCCTCCTCCAGGATCAAGTTCCCACCTACCACTCAGTCAGTCGGACTTGGGCCCCACCTCCCAGCCCCGCCTCGGCCTCGCCCCAGCTCACACCAGTGACCAAGCCCTCCAGCCCGTGGCCCCTGTGTGTGCCCCGGAGCAAGCATCACCAGGCAAAGGGTAAATGGACACTGCGGATTCAAGGTAGTCTCACTTCTCAGCACAGACACAGGAGGTGCCCACATAGCCCACGGGGCAGCTCTCCCTGCTGACCTGGGCCTGAGACCCAGCAGAAGTGGCTGTGACATTCTGGCGTGGACTCCAGAAGCTTCTCCACCCATAGTACAAGTGCGCTTGTCTGTGTGTTCTGTCTTCTTGCTCCTGCTCTTGTGAATTTAAAAACTACAGAAAAAAAGGAGTCCAGTAGACAAGCTGGAACTCCAGGAACACTATGTGCAGCAGGGACACGGAGTGTCTGGCCAGGCAGCTGGCGGTTTCCCCTGTCCGAGTCTCCCACCATCCTGTGGGGTGGTCTCGGCAGTCCATCTCACAGATGGGGAAACCGACGTGCACTGACCTTGAGGGACGTGCCCAAGGTTTGACAGCCTGTATGGGCAGGTGGGGAGGGAGCGCTGGCCCCACGGTCACCACTCCAGAGCCTGTCCTTTGTGGGTGTTGCTCTTCTAAGTAGCTGCAAAACAGCCTGGCGTGATGGCTTACACCGAAATCCCAGCACTTTGTGGGGGCGGAGATAGCAGGATTGCCTGAGTCCAGAGGTTAACGAGACCAGTCTGGGCAACTGGGTGAGACCTCTTTCTACAATAAATTAGAAAATTAGCTGAGTGTGGTGGCATGTGCCCACAGTCCCAGCTACTTGGAAGGCTGAGGCAGGAGGATGTCTTAGCTCAGTGAGCTGAGGCTGCGGTGGCTGAGAACGTGCCCCTGTACTCCAGCCTGGGTGACAGTGAGGCTCCGACTCAGAAAAAAAAAAAGTAGCCAAGAAACGTAAGCATGCCAGTCTCCTGCTTCTCAGGAACTGTTTTATTAGATTAAAATAAATACTGAAATATTTGCACTAGTTCTAGATAAGCGGCAGCTTTAAAGACTCGTTACCATCCTTGACCAAGAAGTTGGCTTTAGGAAAACAAGGAGAAAAGAAGCCTCTGCTGCCAATCCAGATATCGCTGGTGACCCCAGGGCAGGGAGCGTCTCCAGTGGTGGCCAATCAGCGGCCAGCTGTGCTCCCTGGAATGCTCTGAGGTTGCTCCTGGCCAGTAGGCATCTGCCATGAGGCTTCCTTATCACGTCTGCTTTGTTGGAAGATTGTGGCCGCCTCCTTCCTGTCTGTCATCGACCTGATCCTGGGGCTCTGGTTTCCTCAGCTTCTGTTTCTGTTTGTCTCAAAGTCAAAGCTGTTCTCGGGTCTCTTCGTACTGATGTCTCAGGACACCTCAGTTATCTTATTTTTCTCAAGGAAAAGAAAGAGAGGCGACAGAGAAGAGAGAGACACACACACACACACGGAGACAGAGAGAGAGAGAGAGAGAGACAGAGAGAGGGACACACAGAGAAAGAGACAGACAGAAAGGAGAAAGAGACAAAGACAGACAAAGGGAAGAGCTAGAAAGGAGAGGAAAGAGGGGAGAGAGACACAGAGACGGGGGAGAGGGAGACACACAGAGAGACACACACAGACAGAGAGACACATACACAGAGACACATACAGAGGGACACAGAGACACATACAGAGGGACACAGAGACAGAGACACAAAGACAGAGACATACAGAGAGACACACAGAGGGAGACACACAGAAAGACACAGAGAAAAGAGATGGAAAGAGGAGAGAGAGACACCCATACATAGAGAGAGACAAGAGAAAGACACACAGAGAGAGAGAGAAAGAGAGGCAGATGTTGTGGCTGTTGGCAGTGTCTACACGCATCTTGAATGCTTAAATTCCCTGCGGCTTCTGAGCCTCTGGGAACCTCTGGAGCAATACAGACGTCATGGTCACAACGCTTCAAAACCACACTCCCGTGCAAGAGGGCACCCTCCTCGACATCCTTCCCTGGGTTGGGGCCACCACCCACGGGACACACACGCCCTCGGGACACACACACCCTCAGCCATGCTCAGCCCCTCCCAAATGTGGGGGGCGGGGCTCCAGTGGGGTCTTGAGGTCTTGAGGCAGCCTCGTGGGATGGGGGGCATGGACAGGCACACGCCTGCAGGAGCCGCTGGGGGCTCCTCGCTGGAACCTAGATGTCTTCAATTCCCGTGGACATCGACTGGACCATGACTAAAATGCCACGGACCGCAGAAATGAAGCCACACCCATGGGAGGTCACTGGCTCTGACCCCACTACAGGAGAGCCTCCCTCAGCCACAGGACCCAGGCAGCCCGGTGCCACTCAACCATCACCATCAGTGCCACCTCTCCTGACCACAGCTGCCGTTGCTAGAAAGTTCTTCCTGCTAGAGACTGAGCCCTGTCCACGTGCCATTTGCAGACTCTCACACTGGTTCCATCCCCACAAAAGACATGCACACACACGCACACGACACTTGTCACCTTCTCCTGGATAGGCCCCTGTTTCTCAATATCCTTGTTCATTGTAGACCCCAGAGCTGCATACACACTCCCTTTCTCTTTCTCCGTGTTTTCCAAGTCAGTATCATTATTATTATTATCATTTTCCCCCATCAGTCAGCTCTTCATCCATCCCATCAGCTTCTCCTATTGGGTTGTCTGGTCTGGGAAATGGAGGCTGGGATAGCCTGGGAAGCCCCTCACTCATACTCTCCCCCCAGGATGCCAGTCCCCTACTCCGGGTTCAGCTGGGGAGGGGGTGTAGGCTGAGCCCCCAGAATGCTGAGCCCAAGCAATTTTAGTATTAATCTATAGTCACGTGTGAGGCACATGACATCACAGAGAGGCAAAAAGACAAGAAGTTCCTTGTGAGATTTCGACCCCAAGAGGTGCCGGTGAGAACAGCAGGGACACTGCTGTCGCTGCCCAGATGTCCGGGGGCGTCAGTCCAGAGTGACACATGGCTTCTTTGGTTTATCTCATTTTACTTTGGTATGGGTTTTACCGGGAGGCTGTGTACCAGATGACCCTTCTCTCTGTGTGGACTAAAATCTGGGTGATGACACTGCATCCTTGGAAGTGTCCCAACCCTCTCGGATGTCCTTCCCTTAGGGCCTTCAGGTCACAGATGCCTCTGCAGGGGGGCTCGGGGGCATGCCTGCCCACTGTACCTGCCCACCCCTCTTGGCCCAGCCCCTGGAAGGGAAGCCCGGGAAGATACTGCTCACACCTGGGCTGGAGAGCCAGTAGGCCATGGTGGGGTCAGCCCTTTCTTTGCTGCTCCGATTTCATTGTCTTCCTCAAGAATTGACAGCTCCGCTTCTACCAGGCAGGAGGCCACACAGCGAGGCCTGGGAACATCACCCGCCCCTCCTCCCCACACGGAGCCTGGGCTCACGGGGTGGCGTGGGCTCGCCTCTCAGACACAAACTCTGTGTCTAGCCATGACCAGGGCCGACTGTGTCTCTACAGATGCCACTGTCTCCATCCAGTTGCAGGGAAGGCGAAGCACGGGTGTTTACAAGACCCACAGGAACACCCAATGGCGCGGAGCTCCCGCCGTGGCCACATACCTTCCGCATTGAGATGCATCGTCTCCAGGGGCCCGATGAATGCATACCGCATGCCCAGCCCTTCCGACATGACGAGGTCCACATCGCCAGGGGATAGGATTCCGTCCTGCAGAGGCGATGGGCAGACATGGTGAGTCCTCAAGGAGGCCGGCTCAAGACCGCCACCACTGCCCCCGCTCATCAGAGCAGGATCCCAAACGCCCTCCAAGGCGCCGCAGTGGCGCCCTGATGGGGTCCCGCATGATAAAGCTGCCTTCTATAAGCAGGTCCAGCAAACAGGCTGTCTCGTGAGACGGCCACGTCAACTCAGCTTTCCACCTTGTAGTCCACCGGGCTTGCATCGGCCCCTCTCCGTGTCTCCACCTGCCCACTCACCCTACAACCTGTTGCACCTGCAGCCTTGGGGAGGCTGGGCAAGGGGGAGACTGAGGCTGGGTTTGGCAGGAAGGGCAGGAGGATTTTCTAGGTGTGTGTCCAGGACCCGGGAGGCAGATTAGCACCATGGAGGCAGTGGAAAGGTGCACTCCAGGCCTCACCTGCCTGCAAGTCGGGCCTTGTTGGCTTTTAATGAGTTTGTAAAAGTGATACTCTTTGATGGAATGCAGCTTAGACCCATGGGTGTGTTTGCCAAGGTGGGGCCCTAGAATCTTCTGCAAATGTGAACTGCAAAGCAAGAGGGCATCCCTGTGGTGGGATACCCACTGGCTACTGGCATCACTTGTCCTCATGCGGTTTGGGGGACACAGGGAAGACAGATCACCCTGTGGGACCTGCAGCCCATGGTACCACCTCCCCCAGGAGTGATGGCCTCAGGCACAGGGTGGCGGGAGGGTAGGGGAGGAAGGGGCACATCTTCTCTTGTGCTGCGGGGGCTGCCGCTGTGGCCTCACCCCCAAGAAGGTTCTTCACACATGGAACCCATGGGGATAGGGACGGCTTCCTGGCAGCCAGGCCCAGCCTGCCCGAAGGGCTACAAACCGTGGTGGAGGTCCCTCCCACGAGCAGCCTGGGTGGCCTGCCAGGCCTTGGCTGGGTAACAGTGTTCCTCCCAGGGCTCGATGCCCACAGCCGGCTCCCTGCAGGCCCAGGCTGGTGGCCCAACACGGCCCTTGCCCCAGGGTCTCCACATGGTCCCTGCCCCAGGATTCCCACACAGCCTCTGTCCGGGGTCCCCACATGGCCCCTGCCCCAGAGAGTCCCTGCCCCGAGAAAGCCTGTCCTGAGAGGCCTGTCCTGACCTGGGAGGCTCTACAACCTCCCTCACCCCAGGGCCACGGGGAAAAGCCCTGGGATGCCTTGGGGCTCGGGTGGGGGCTGGAGTGTCCCTGCATCCTGCCACCTCCCAACCTCAAAGGCCACCGAAGAGTCACCTCAAAGTCCGCACAAGAAGCTGAGCACAAGAGGCCTGTAGCCCCTGCTGTCACACAGCCCTGCCGCAGAGGGTGACACGGCCTGTATGGTGCTCACGCCTCATGCATCTGCAGAGGCTGCATGGGGAGGTAGGGTCCAAGTAGGCGGTGGGCGCTGGACTTCCTTGCCTCCTGGGCTCTGCTCACCATGGGCTCAGAGGGGCTGCAGGAGCGTGGTGTACACTCGCTTGGCCCTGGTGTCCACGTCAGCATTCTGAGGCCCTTATCTCATCCTGGCATCCAGGCTGCAAGGACGCAGACGGGAAGGCTACCCACCTCAGCACTGTGGCCCAGTTCTCCTTCCAGAAGGGGTTGGTGTCTTAGCTGAATTTTAAAGACTTTTAGGATTTCACAGGCCCTCAAGGTGAGTCACCGGGAGTGGCCAGGCTTTGGCTTGTGAGCATTCTCTGAGCTCATGGTGCCCACCTCAGGCCGAGGGTCCCGCACTGGTGTCGAGTGTCCTACCAAGAGTCCTCATCCGTGGTGTCGAGTGTCCCACCGAGGGTCCCCATCCGTGCCAAGGGTCCTGCACCTATGCTGAGAGTCTCACTGAGGGCCCTACACCCATTCTGAGGGTCCCACACCTGTGCCCCAAGCAGCCGCACACTCCAAGCCCGCTGTGTCCGCCTCATCTGGAGAGGTGCCGTCGCTCGTGGGTCACCGTCCACAAGAACACATTGGAAGGAGGAGTCATCTAGTCGCCCCTCCCTGCCGTCCCGTTTGGACTCTGAAGAGACTTCTCACAGTTCAAATTTACACCAAGAATCTGAACCTAACAAAAGAAAACAGCCACAAGCCATAGATGCACCCAGGAGCTTAGGCTGTGGGGAGCACTGGCATCTCTCTGGCACGCAGCATGGGCTCCAGCTCCCATTGGACCTTCAAGCTCTGCTTTTGTTGAGTCCTGTTCCCCTAGAGCCCATTACGCCTGTGACCTGGTGTCATCCCAGCAATGGCAGTAACCCTTCATGGGGGCAGGGCAGCAGGCGCAGGTGCTGATGTCAAAACGTGAGCCAATGAGTACGGCCCAGGAAACAGGTGTGCTCAGCACGCTTGCCTGGGGACAGGGAGCCCGCCCAATGTCCCTGTGGCCACTGACACTTGTCAGTACAGCACCGGCACTGCCTCCATTTTGTGGTACAATTTTCAAGTCACACGTACAGAGAAAAGCCCTAGTGGTTAAAAGATTCTTAAAAACGCAACCAGAGGCTGGGCACGGTGGCTCCCAGCACTTTGGGAGGCGAAGACAGGAGGATCGTCGAGGCCAGGAGTTTGAGATCAGCCTGGGCAATATAGAGAGACCCCATCTCTACAAAAAAATTGAACAATTCCTGGGCATGGTGGCACATGCCTGCCGTCCCAGCTACTTGGGAGATTGAGGCAGAAGGACCACCTGAGCCCAAGAAATTGAGACTGCGGTGGTCGTGAGCATGCCACTGCACTTCAGCCTGGGCAACAGAATGAGGCCCCAACTCAAAAATAATAATAATAGAATAAAGTAAAAAGCTCATCCGGAGCAATGAACACTAAGATCCGTGTGGTCTTTGTGGTGCGTCATCCTGAAAGCCCACCGGAAACCCCTTTCTGAAGCTCTCCTTCCCCTCCGGTCCTCCGGCCCACCCTGAGACACCACGGTCACCTGACACCAGTGCAGCCCGCACTCCTGTGCCTGGTGAGCCAAGACAGTGCCCAGGCTGGAGGGACAGAAGCCATCACCGCAAAGCGAGGCGGCCCATGGGAGGCATATGGTCCCCGGGACCGCAAGGCTGATTCCAAGTATGATCAAAGGGTTGGGGCCATCTCCGCCAGGGCCCCGCCAGAGAAACAGACCCACGAGACACCCACACATGCACGCACGCACACAAGCTCGGCCTCAAAAAACGGGTGTGGGTGAATGTGGGACCGGCCAAGCAGGAGCCTAGGATGGCCGTCGCAGACAACCTGCAGTCCACAGGCAGAGCATTTCTGGAAGTCTCGGCTCTGCTGGGTATAGCTGCCAGGCTATCGGGTTATAGCTGCCAGGCTGTCGGGGATCGCCTCCTTCAAGTGGGGTCCTCTGGTCTGCATGGTGTCTTCCCGTGACACACACATGATGTCTACACGGCGCCTTCCCCAACACAGACCACATCGACACGACGTCTTACAACGACACATAGACCAGATCACATCTACACGGTGCCTCACGGCAACACGCAGACCACAGCTACACAATACCTTACAACAACACATGGACTGCCTCTGACCGTCGGGCTGCTGCTCCAGCCTGACCACACCACCCACTCAGGAGCCGATGCCCTGGCAGACTTCGGTCTGGCTCTTTTGTGTCAGGGTGCGGAGAGAAGGGTCCGGAAGCACCTCCCGGCCAACAGCAGTGAGCGGGGCCTGTGCCAGCCACGGACAGGCCTGGGGAAGCGAAGGCAGTGGGTCCCGGTGGGGAGCAGTGGGGTGAGGGTGGGGCCCAGCGACGGTCCCGTGCTGGGCACCAGTCACCCCGACTGCCTTCTCGCCTCTACCACCCTGCCCTCGCCTGCCTTCTAGTTTTGCCCTTGGCCTCCGAACCCTGCCTCCCCTTGGGCCGCCTCACCATTCCCGCCCCCTTCTGCCCTCCAGCCTCTGATCTCCGCAGAGTTTGTTCTGCCTGCTTCTCTCACGTTGCCTGAGAGCTTCATGCCTTTTGGGCAAGTCCCCCTGGAACCCGACCTCAGTCATCACCACTGGGACCACTGGGGCAGCTGCGGTCTCCACCGAGAAACAGCTGGAAAGTGAGGATCCCGGAGTTGAGTCAGGCCTCGTCTCAGGCAGGCATCCAACTCTCAAGTTCGCGGCAAGTACTCGGCCGCCTCCAGTCCCACGGGCTTGCCTTGCACCGGGTCCAAGGCTGCCAAGGACAGACTGCAGCAGCCAGGCCCCCCGCCCCACCCCTCCCCCATCTCCAGGCAGAGCCAGGTTGAAGCAGAGCTTTCCTCAGGGGCCCCGGCCCTGGAGCCAGGCGAGGATGGCTGGACAAGGCCAGTCGCTCGAGCATGAGCCGGGTGAGCCGTCTCTGGGAACATCGACTTGAGTCCTCGCACACGTGCCGGGGCAGCAGTACCACCAGCCACGTCTGCAGTGAGGACTCCCACGAGACCCCACGGGGCCAGGAGCTGGTCCCTGCGTGGATTCCTGCCCCGCACTGCTGTGTTCTGCTCTCCAGCATGCGTGAGCCAGGTGTGAGACCAGGCATGAAGCTAGATGTGAGGCCAGGTGTGGGGCCAGATGTGAAGCCAGATGTGAGGCTGAAGGTGAAGACAGGTGTGAGGCTAGGTGTGAGGCTGGATATGAGGCCAGGTATGGGGCCGGATTTTTAAAAAGGCAACAAAACATGAAGTACTCGCACAACGTCTACAGAGTGGACATCACACCGGGTGGGACCTTCTCCAGGCACACAGGCCAGCTAGCGTGCGAGCATCAGTCAATGGGCTCATGAGTCCGCGTGCCTGCACAACTCTCTTTGCCTCTCGGACATCAGCAGCGAGTCACTGCTGTGCTGGTGGAAACGCAAGTCCTGGCCCTGTCCAGGCCCATCCTGCCGACTCATCCCTCAATGTGGGGTTGGGCCCCCAGAAGTTCACACCTGGATTTACTTGTGCAAAGCTGTTCCCAGAGACAGGGATGGACTTTCTCCTGCACCTGCCAGCCCAGAGCCTGTACAGAGGATATCTCAGTCCCCTGAGCCAGGTCACCTGGCACCTTCCTCACCCTGGGAGTACCCCAGCCCTAACCAACGCACGCTCCAAGAAAGATAAACAGAAAGGCCGCCAGACCTTGATCTGCCTTGTGCACCCAGAGTCATGAGACAAAAGCATCCATAGGGCGGCCTGGAGGGCGACTCCCCCACCTCGACGCTCATTCTGCTCACCAGAAAAGGCACACAGGCAGGTGCTTGGCCACACGCAGGACCCACCCCAGGCCTCACTCAGAGGGAGGGCCTCAGTAAGGCCTTGGGTCTGTTCAATTCAGGGCATGTGCAAGGGGTGGGTGCAGTGGCTCATGTCTGTAATCTCAGCCCTTTGGGAGGCCGAGGGAGGATCACTTGAGCCCAGGAGTTCAGGAGCAGCCTGGGTAACATAGTGAGACATCTCTACAAAAATACACGTGTACTCCTAGCTACTCAGGAGGCTGAGTGGGAGGATGACTTGAGTCCAGGAGGTTGAGGTGGTGATGAGTCCGATTGTGCCACCGCACTCCAACCTGGGCCCCAGAGTGAGACCCTGTCTGTCTCAAACATTTTTTTAATGTTCAAGTATACCATCTCTACTGTGGAACTTCCCTAATTCTGTTCCTGTGTATATTAAAGTTGCTCTTGCAGGTTTTGAGGTAAACTTGGAACACCCCAAATTCAGGTTCAACTCTTGAAAAACCCCAGAATGTAAATTCAAGTCCAACTGGCTTGGAGTTGTGAGTCAGGGTGTCGCTGAGCTCTGGCCTGTGTTGGGGCGCACGTATGCAGACCTGCAGAAGCAGGCCCTGGGAGTGTCAGCCTTGCTGACATGTCGTGTTTGACCAGGAAGCAAGTGGAGGCTTTCCCTCAGGGACCCCAGAAAGTCATGGATTCCTAGCACAGCCCCTGAGGGGACTGTCCCAGGCACTTGGGCCTACCGAGCGGGAAGCATCGCAGCTGGCACAGGCATTGTGGGCAAGGTGCCCCTGGAGCCCTGCCACACGGTGCGGCCCTGCTCCCCAGTCCCAGGCCTCGCAGGCCCAGAGCCAGAGCTGCATGGTGGAGGGCTGGGAGGCCATGCCCACCTCAGCCTGGAGGGAAGGGCCTGCAGCGTCCTGTCATCCTGTGCTCGCTGGCTGTGGACCGTCTTCAACCTCTACATAAGTTCCCGTCCTGCCAGTCACCAAGGCAGCTGCTGTGCTCCCGTCACACTTCTAACCCTTCTGTCACAGCTGCATCCTGCCAGGTCTTGGCCTCATCTCCTCAGGGACCCCAGGCACATGAGCCCAGCAGCCACAGACACAACTGGGCCTGCCTTCCCAAGGGGCACCACCCCAGAACGCCAGGGGGAAGGGTCCCCAGCAGCCAGCATCATGACCTCCGCAGTTGCCACAAGCCAAGGACGCCAGACAACAGGAAGAGAGTGGACGGCCCTACCGGCCACGTCTAGGGCAGCTGCCCCGACACCCAGCTGCCCCTCAGAGGCGAAGGGGGCCCCACCACCTCCCCACCGTGATCATCTCCACAGGAGCCACGGAGAGAACACCCTGTGCACTCCCCCCCCCAGCTCCCCGACTAGACTCTGCATCCTCCCTGGAGCTGCCTCACTTCGTCCTGATCCGAGAAACAAGACTGGACCTCAGAGCTGCCCTACAAGTAAGAGTAAAACTGTCGCTAAACCCCACAAGGCACAATGCCACAAGTGGACTAAAACTGGTCCCCATGCTAGACAAGTGGAAATACTCTCAGTAAATCCCCAGTGGCTTGTAGTTCAGGGTCTCTTTAAAATACACAGACACTGACAGTCACAAACATTCTGCAACTGAGAAACGCACAGGCCAGCCTGGCCGGGGCAGCCCCAGCGCCTGTCTGGAAGTCACAGGAGAACTGAGCGGGTCTGAACCACGAGACACGGGACAATGTGGACTGCAAGGCAGGTCTACGGGCTGCAGGGTCAGGGGATGGAGCTGCGGGACTTGGTCAGGCACCTCGGCAGGTGCAGGACAGGCCGAAGGGTCTGCTGGGAGGCGGAGGCACAGCTCAGGCCCTGTCCCGGGCGAGGCTGGGCGAGCCACTGCACAAGGAACCCAGAGTTCTGGGCCTGCCAGGCGCTGTCCCTGCCTTGGGGCGTCTCAGGGCCCCAAGACACCCCCCGTTGCCCAGCTGTGCTGGCCTCTAGCCTCCAGGCCCTGCATCAATCCAGGACCCACATTCTCACATGAAGGAACATAGGAACGTGGCAGCCGGCAGTATCTTCACGCACACGTCATGTCCTTTCCCTAAGGCTGAGGCTGACTACACGTGTGTGAATAATACATCCTGCTTCCAAGGAAGGCAGCATCTGCTGACGCAGTCAATGTGGGCTGGCCGCTGCTTCCTCAGCTCAAAAGCAGGTTCCTTCAGGGGATGCAAGTTCACTTGTCACCAAACACAGTGTTTTCTGTTTTTTTTCCCTCTTGAAACACTGTGACCCTGGGTAGAGCCTGAATCGGTGGGAAAAAGCAGCCAGCACACACAAGTGACGGCGTGGTAGTCCATGAGAGGGCAGGAGGGAGACACCTGTCATTGCGTCCTGAGATCAGATGACAAACTGTGAGAGGACCACGTAGAAGGCAATGAATCGCTGCACTCTCTTCCGTTTCTAAAGCTTGCCCTGGCCTCTAGGATAGAGCCAGAAGGACCGAGAGCCCTCTGGGCTCCCAGCTGGGAGGGATGGAGGAGAGGGAGTGAAGCAGGATGGAAGGGCGGGGAGACTGGGGGGAGAAAGTGAAAAGGA